TCAATTTTTCAGAGTCGATTGTTAAGGATAATCGTTAGAACTCTTCGGGGGGCTGCCAGAACTCGTGGCAGAACGCCGGATTTCGTAAAAAAATTTTTAACTTTTGGACTTCGAAAATTTCGAAAAGTCCGTACCTTTGGGACGCTAGAACTTTTTTGTTTTGAGTTCTCAGAGTCGATTGTTAAGGATAATCGTTAGAACTCTTGGGGGGGCGGCCAGAACTCTTAAGAAATTGCCGAATTTCCGAAAAAATTTTTCGACTGGTATAAACTCGAAAATTTTCAAAAATTTTTGGGAATTTCGGCAATTTCTTGAGAGTTCTGATGGCCCCCCAAAGAGTTCTATCAATAACCCTTATGATCAAAATCGCTAAAATGAAAAACAAAGAGTTAATGGCCTTTTGAAGTTACAGAAATGTGAAGTTGGCCCCCCCCATGTCTTCAAATGGTGTTTTCATCGCTTTAATCAATGGAACTCTTTCTAAAATCGATAGTAAACTTTAGAACTCTTTGGGGGGTAATCGGAACTATCTGATTATTTTTTCAAATTTTAAAAAAGTGGGGCCAACTTCAAAGAGGTGAGACTGTGTGCTTTATTGAGTCATGTTAACTCATTAAAAGTGAGGTATAAACCTATGCGATTCTATGCGATCATTTTGCTACCAAAGTAAGCAAGTAATGACGTCATTAACTGAGTATAAAATACTCACATAACTTTAGTATCACTTGTGTGAAAATGGAAAGCAATTTATATATGAAAGTATTAAATTAAAGTAATAAAAAATCAGTACTTTGTTATATTTTATATCTTCTTTGTATTTTATACTTTATCGAATATATCTTTAATGATTTTATATAAATTAATGAAAAAAATTGTCATAGAATAATAAATGATACATTTTTTCCAATATTTTGTTTTATGTTTATTTAGTATAAGTATTATATTTTATTTCATTTACTAGAGAGAATATTACATATCTTTTATATAAAATTTAATGTTTTGTTTAAGCAATGCTGTTGTATATTCGTTGTCTTTTATTATTATTCGTTGTATTGATTTTATTTTATCTTTTCAATATTCAATGAAAGAAATCAATTTTGTATAGTTATGCTAAATATGCATATGTCTTTAAATATTTATTTTCTATTTAACAATAAATTCTGCATAATTAAAAGCTTTAAATATTATATTTAAAAGATTGTAAATTACTAATTTTTAAATTGATTATATATAATTATGATAATGTTTATCATTATTGAAGACGTTTAGACAACTATGTCAATGAATCAAATTATTTTAGCATAAATGTGTGTATATAAAATGCATGCGCATGCACACAGAGATATATCCTGTAATTATTTGAAGAAATCAATGAAATAATCCGTTTTATTATATATTTTTTAACTTTATCAATATATTTATTATACATTGTAGTATAGAAGTTGAATATTAGAAAATATTTAACTCCTGCTTTTTTTGATTTCAGTTGATCCTGCATGCTGTGCACTGTGTACCAACGTACTGTCTATCCGCAACACCTGCACCGTACTTTTTTATTATTTTTGTCAAATATATTACATTCGTAAAAGAAATATAAATATGGCTGCTTATATCAATCGTGCAATGGTACAATCGTCCATGATTGGAGCAGACAGTCAACTTCGATCAGATGTTAGAAATGATAATTCTCCTCTACAGATTTTCGTTAAGGCAAAGAAAAGGATAAATGATATATTTGTGGATATTGAAAAATATGTGGAAGAAACCGTGGAGTTTATGACATGTAAGTAAACAAGTAAAACAAATATTGTAATATGTTTATTTAATTAGATTATTAATTTATTTAACTTTATAACAGCATTACAAAATGATCGGGATATTGTAACAGTAGAAGAAGCAATAAAAGTTAAAGCTTATATAGATAAAATACGAGCGATAAAAGATGTTCTTAAAAGAGATCACATGAAAGTTGCTTTCTTTGGCAGGTGAGTAATTATATTAAATAATATGCCTATCTAATTATAATTAGTTACTTTATAGATATAAAATGTGTTTTTTTAAGTTTTAATTATAAAATTTTATTGGAATTAGAGATACATTTTTTTCTTATAAGTTAAAGTGTTATTTAGCATGCAAATTATAATTACAGTTTTTCAGTATAACTTTAACACTCAAAACTTTAACATTTGAAATATAATTTACACATTTATAATATTATATACATATATTTTTTTTATCTTGACGAGTGAGAATATTGTTACAACTTAAAATGGTTTATTACTTTTTTATTTTATATATTTTAATAATAGTATATTTTATATACTTTTATACAATTTTTTTTAAATAATAAAATTGGAAATTATATTGTGGGATTTATACGTAACTAGTATAATATATATTATATAGTACATTCACATACACACGTACGCACGCACACACCACACTATATATATATATATATATATATATATATATATTTGTGTACAAATTAAGAACAAAATTTATTGTAACTCAAGTCATAACACTCGATTCTCTACAACAATAACGATTGACAACTTTCTGTTTTCTATAATTTTATATCTCTACGCCGATCAAGACATCAAATCTATACTATAGCGCGTATTTGCATATGCACAGTTCATGCGGCTCCAATTATTATTTGTCAAAGAAGCTCGTGTGCAAATATAGCTAAACAAAAATAAAACAATGTCGGTTTTCTTTTGATTAGTCGCTCCTTAATTGATTCCTTTTTCAAAGAAATTCACGGTACATGTCGCGATGAAGGTATCAGAAAATGCGCTTGTATTCATTCCACAATATAAAATTTTTATTCATGTTTATTATAAAAAAATTAGCAATTAGAATTTTTCTTAAAGAAATAATACTAATTGATGATTCAGAATTATGGTACACTATTGTAATTTATATGTGTATTGCAGAACAAGTAATGGGAAAAGTACTGTAATTAATGCCATGCTACATGATAAAATTTTGCCAAGTGGCATAGGACATACTACGAATTGTTTCTTACAAGTTGAAGGTTCAGATAATGGAGAATCATATCTTATTACGGAAGGATCTACTGAAAAACAACCAGTTCAATCCGTTGGACAATTGGGTCATGCTCTTTGTAAAGAGAAATTATGTGAAAGCCATTTAGTTAGAATATTTTGGCCAAAAGAAAAATGCCTATTGTTACGAGATGATGTAGTATTTGTTGATAGTCCAGGAGTAGATGTAACTCCAAACCTTGATGAATGGATCGATAAGCATTGTTTGGATGCAGATGTTTTTGTCTTGGTAGCAAATGCAGAATCTACCATAATGGTCACTGTAAGTAATATTAATTTGTAATAAACATTTATTCTGTAGTTGGTTACATAATCTATGAAATACATAATTTAAATATCTAAAAGAAAAATTATTTTGGAAAAATATTTTTATTTACTCAACGATATTCGAGATGCTATTCTCATAAAATTTTGTTTTATTATGATAGTATCTCATGTCATTTTTCTAAAATATAACTACAAGTCTTCAAATATTTTCTTTTATATTTTCAAACTCTCGTTTATATAGTCCAGTATTTTTTTTAATAATCATTGTATTTAAACTAATATTGGTAAAAATTAATTCTATTTTTTTTCTTTAGGAAAAAAATTTTTTTCATAAAGTTTCAACAAAGCTATCAAAACCGAATATATTTATTTTAAATAATCGATGGGATGCCTCTGCTTCTGAACCAGAATATTTTGATCAGGTACGTATTTATAAAGCATTAATTATAGAAAATTAAGTGTTTCATGGATAATTACAAATATACTTTGAGTAGAGTTTATTGAAATTTATAATAAAGATTTAAATAAATATTAGTAGCTTTAATGTTTTAAGTTACGTAATTTATTTTATTATTATTTTAAATAGAAATTAGCGAAATAAAGGCCAACAAATGAGCAAATAAAAATATTGCAATACAATTATGTAATTTAATTCGATATACTAAAGTGGAACGTTTCGACTTCACGAAGCCTTTTTCAGCCGCAACTATAAATTTTCAA